CATTATTTTGTTTGTTACCCCTTGGCGCCCGACTTCATCAGTAGTCATGAGATATGGCATTCACGTAGTATTTGGTATGAAGAAGGATATAGGCTACTTTTTATCCTGGTCACGCAAACAAAATCGCGAGCACAGCTAGTATTTAACATATTATAGTTGGAAACGGAAAATTTATTTAATTAAGAGCGACATTCACAATATCACCAGAGGGAGACTTTGTATAAAAGTCGATTGCTTGGGTACCTCTGTCCCATTCGTGTTTCAACCGTGAAGCAGTTGTGTTTGCATGGCTGTGTTTCGGTTTGAAGGTTGGGATATGGCGTGAATTTAGTGGGTACAGAGGAGTAACACCTGAGTCCTCAGGAATGGCAACGCATGGGGGGTATCATAGACGATACAGTATACTCTGTTATGTCCATGGTATTGCTCATGTCTATAGGCGACGGTTACTACTTTCCATCAGGTGGGCCGATAGCTTGTTTGTCATTCTAAGTTGTATAAAAAAAATCCACTACTCGAAATTTTGATCACGAATGTTTTTGTGCAATGATTTATTTTTGTATTCTGTTTACCTGCGACTGGATAATATATTGTGCTATATTAAAGCCCTTGTATCACAATATTTATCTTCAGGATTTTCAGCAGGAGGCGATGGTTATTATTAAACGATATCGTATAACTTATGTCACTTCTGGTGCTATTAATATGATTCTATCCAATATAATAAATTTTCTTTGAACTTGCTATGAAATACGAGTATCTTGTTGTCTATTATCTACGTGCACGTCACAGAATGATCTTTTTGCAGCTTAAGACTAAATTTTTAATTTTATTTTTCAGATATTAGACAGAGTAGGAGCCAAAAGTACCTACAAACTAAATACTCTAATAAAACTATATAGAAATAAAATATTAGATAGAGTAGGAGCCAGAAGTACCTACAAACTAAATACTCTAATAAAACTATATAGAAATAAAATATTAGATAGAGTAAAATACAAACTAAATACTCTAATAAAACTATATAGAAATAAAATATTAGATAGAGTAGGAGCCAGAAGTACCTACAAACTAAATACTCTAATAAAACTATATAGAAATAAAATATTAGATAGAGTAGGAGCCAGAAGTACTACAAACTAAATACTAATAAAACTATATAGAAATAAAATATTAGATAGAAAAGAAAAGTACCTACAAACTAAATACTCTAATAAAACTATATAGAAATAAAATATTAGATAGAGTAGGAGCCAGAAGTACCTACAAACTAAATACTCTAATAAAACTATGTAGAAATAAAATATTAGATAGAGTAGGCGCCAGTAGTACCTAAAAACTCAGTACTCTACTAAAACTATGTAGAAAACAAAATATTGATAGAGTAGGCACCAGCAGTGTCTAAAAACGAAGTACTCTACTAAAACTAATGTAGAAACTAAGAACTCTATTACTACTAGACTTCTAGCCTTCGTAAGAAACCTCCTCTATTAAACAAAATCTTTCTGAAAATCCATCATCATCTTTCATCACAATTGTCATGTTACATTTTTGTCTTAAAATTAGTATTGGAAAATTACATATATGCAATTAAATATAATAGTTTAGATACTTTTTAAGAACGTATTAAATTCTATTAATATGATAAATATGAAAGTTTATAATGATAGATGGATGAATTACTGTTATTCTTTTTTCGCAAAAATTACTCAGCAGATTTAAATGGAATTTATACAGTACACCGATAGGTTATATCCTAATTTAGTACATACCATATATACTAACTTACATAGGTAAAGCCACGGCTGAATTGAATTGAATGCAAGTTTTTGAATACAATTTTTCATCATCACCATTGGCATTTACTTTTTATGGATGACAATGATCAGGTCTCATAAAACGAAATATCGTTAAAAGTTATTTTTCAATGCAATCATAAATATTCAACTGGTTACCACTACTAATTTAATATAATTTTTAATTAGTAATTCAATTGAATATACATTATTATTACAGGCAATCACTGTACCATTGAACCGTACTCAGGTCATTTTCGCGTATCCACTAATTTTTAGCCTCAAATGTTCGCAGACTGTAAATAGCAGACTGTAAGCACCTAGTTACTAATGACGTCTGCGAACTCGAGCACACACTAAAATCACTGTGTGAGTGAGAGTGAACACTCGTAAACTGCACTTATTCTCATGTTACTTGTGTGAGTAATCGTTTCCAAGTGTGAAGTAGTAGGTACATATCTCACATCATTTGCATGCAATCGATGTATGCCAATCGACGATTCAACTGCATAGTCGATCAGTATGTCAGTTTAACACTATTTGATATTGGTTGTTAATGCCTACTATGTAAAATCGGTAACCCTTTGTCATTTGTAAGGATTTGCATCTACCTATAGTTCAGAAACAAAGGTGAATGAATATTAATTGTTATTATGATTTGTCTTTAACAAACAGAGTTTAATGACTTTCTGAGACATCTGTTGCTATCCTACTTGTAAGTATATTTAGTCTTGAAAATACTATTTATTAAGAAAATCCGACCTCTAAAATTTCAGAGGTTAAATTAAATATTATTATATAAAATATATCACAATTATTGTTGATGGAAGTCCTAAACATGGATTAACAGAAGTTGGGTATTTATGTTATATTATTTATTATATTTCATATACAAAGTGAAATAAGTATATGATTTAATAGTATGATATCTAAATTAAATGAACTCTGAGAACTTGTGCTTCATTTATATTTATTACCAAGACGTTTACAACCTTTATATTGCTAAAGAATATATCATATACATGTAAAGTTAGTATTACGTAGTACCCCATAACGTTATTATATATATATATATATTATAAGTAATAATACCCTCATTTTAAGACCTGCAACACCAGGGGTGTCACGTGCGTGTTGCCGACCCTGAAGAAACCTTTTTGAAAAACCCCATACTATAGAGTCTAGGGAAAACCTCGGAAAGTAGTTATTTATATAAATTTATTCATTTTGCGTGTAATTTTAGTATGTTTAATATACATAATATCAATAATTACTAGTACCGCATTCGAGTATTCTGACACTTCCCTATGGTTGACTGGAAGAGAATGCTTTTTATTGCATTTAGTCATTGAGTCCGCTTTGTACACGTATATGAACTAATAAATAAATAAATAATCACAACTTTCTTTCTCAATATTGATGTTATTTGAATGACGCAGCCAAAGTAAGCTAGTTTATTGCGTTGCGTAACGTGTGTCGTTTACCCCGCAACCTTCGCTTACGCTTCCCGCTTCTAACGTCGATACGATAGTAACACGATCCGTCCTACTTATCTATAGTCGTAGCCTTGTAGTTGTTTACTTTCAATCTATTGTAGCGTCTAATATTGTTAGAGACTATAGAAAAGAGCGTGTCGAGCCCTTATTGTGCTCCGTCTATTTTTGTTTGATCTATAAATGGGTGGTGGAGTAACTAAACAGGTTGAAATTATAATCATTAGCACCGTTTTAAGGGTTTTCCTATGAAGGGTCCTTAAGGGAAAAACTAAACATTTTATCTGAACAAAAAGTGAACTAAAAGCGCGAATAATTTTGTACCGACCATATCAACACGGCAAATAATGTTAGTATGCGAAGTTCTAAACTCTTTATCGTTTTTCAAACCAAGTTTTTGTGGGAAAATGTTTAGTTTTAATAAAATTCTCCTTTAAAGGACACTAATAATTTCAATTTTAACATATGTATCTTATTTATTTATTTTATATCTACAATATTTATTTACTGTTCTATCTATCTATTTTTTTACTGATCCTTTTCATCCCTAAGATGTCGTATAAAGCTAAGACTACACTATTATTAATACAGTAATGTAAGTTGCAACAGAAGAAAAACTAGATCTGACGGATATTATTGACCGATATTCCTATTTAATATACACTTTGCATTAGATTACATTAGGAAAAAAGTTGTTAGGATTTATATTGATTCTTTTTACTTAATTTTTCTAGGTGGAAAATAAACAAAAAATGTTAAACATTATTCAGTCGGTAATGTTGCGTAATAGTAATTAAAATATTTCAAACGCCATTTGTTTCATACATATTTATTAATCAATAATTAACAACCGGTTTTTAAATAATTTTAAAGTGTAAACGCTCAGAGTACATTTATTTCTTTGCACTATACTTTATGAAACAGTATGTCGCTATATAAAATAAATAAAACTGTATATATTTCTATAAAAATATAAAAAAATATAATATGAAAAAAATATTAAGACACAATTATGTATATAAAAATGACCGGCTGGTTAAGCTGCCAGCTTATAAAACATAATAAATTGTTTGAATCACATTGGAATTTGACAGGTTAATATTATTATTATTCATTAGCTAACGTAAACTATATCAATAAATAGCACCTACTAATTTATAGAGGCAATTCAGATTTCATTTAAAGTGGATATATTTTTTAAATACGAGTGAATACAGTGTAGGACTACCCCCCACTAAATGGAGTGACGACCTGAAATGCGTTGCAGGGAGTCGGTGAATGCAGGTAGCTCAGGACCGTTCTTTATGTGTATAGAGGAGGCTTATGAGCAGCAGTGGACGGATAATGGTTGAAATGATAATTTTTAAATACTGTTTATTTATCTATTTTATAGTCATAATTATTAATTAATTATTAAAAATAATTTAGTAATTTGCATGAACAACAATTATTAAGAATAATACTACATTTTTAATTATAAGTTTTTTCCTTTTAAGCGACTAGCAAAAGAAGAATGATATACTCGTAAAATCCTGTATTTATTTGAAGTTATGCGATTAGTTTATTGAATCTGAATCAACTTTGACACATCTTTTTGCAATTTATAAAGATTGCTCCATATATAAGTACAACTTTTTATATCGACGAATTATTATAAATTTCGTTGAAAATTTATACTTATCACTAAAGAGAAATTTATTACTTGTTTCAGATTACAACGCTGCCCCGCTGTTCGCCTCGGAAAACGCCTCCAGTGGTAAGTTAGAGATTAACCATTAGGTACCATCCGTAAAATAGACTTTCCAGTGAAGATGAAAGCTATGTGGATATTTCACGAATTAGGTATCTTTATAATAACATAAATTATTTTATTATGAAGAATATTTTAAATTGTCACAGAGTTTCATAGACGTCTTATGGAGAAATGATAGGCATATGGTAATAATTTAAGTGCTTTTATACAATATTTATATCTTATAATGACATTGGTATACGTAAACATGACGAACTTTGGATTATTAAATTGAAATAATTATAAATAAACATTAAAATGGTTATAAATTTATATATTTACATTAAGTTAAAAATAAAAGACTAGATATATCTATATTAAATAAACAAACAACAAAAGGTATAATACTAGAAAAGCAATATATTAAATGTTACTAATATAATATAATTGTAAGCAGTCAATAGGAAATGTTTAAGAAAAAAATATTTTTATAAATTTAGTCTGACTATATTTATGTTTACACCGGCATCATGCACCAAACTGAATGTGCATTTTTCATCGTTATATTACTGATGGTCTAACCTAAAATTTGGTGTTTATTTTATCTCCATACGATGTCTACAATGTATTTTATTAAATTATTTTTACTCTACTTTCGATTTTATTTTATAAAATATATTTACTATATTTAAAAAATATATATCGTTATATTAAAAAAAAATACAAAACAGATATAATAATGAATATTCTTTATTAAGCTACCCCGTTTTATGAGAAATTTAAGAAATATGATTAATTGACATATATATACAAAATACCAACAGGTGATCAATAAGACAAACAAATTAAACTGAGAACCAAATTCGAGTCTCCATTTATGCAAACCAACCTTCTTTCATAGTTCCATTATAAAGGTCATCAGTAAAAAGTATCACTCATAGTTCATGAATAACGCAATAAGTTTTAAACAAGAACATTAAAAAAATTTCATAGACATGCTCAAGCAGCATTATCATGGACCTGTCTCGATTAAATTTATGCTCATAGATGAATCTTGGAAGTCGTGAACCACCGCAAGCTAAATTTGAGTAGTTTAATAGAATTCCGTTATAATAGATATGGGTAATAATTTGCCCCGTGGGGATATTAGAGAAAAGCTGGGTCAACCAACGTTTTCTACAATTGCTGCATAATCCACCATCATAATTATATCTTGATATTTAAAGTTACAAGTAGGGGATTTCTAGCAACGGGTATATTGGTCTTATGGCTAACAATATTTGACATATAGCTCAACTCAATACGGTCCCACCTGGCAAACATCGTCGTTGATTCCTGGTGAATTCGCCATGATGAGACAAATAACCTTACTTTATCCTCATCTATCATTGTTGCTAGTAACCCGCTAGCATATCTCTATAGTACAGACGAAATTCTTTTAATAGGTGATAATGAAATGGTAATCCCGCCTACACTATCGGTATACATTGGCGGAGCACCAGTGAGAGATAATAGGTGTGGATAAAACAGATCAGTTGGACCATTGTGGCATAGTGGCAAGTTTATAAAGCAGTAACCGACATGGTTCCTAGGGAGAATTGTAGGTTCCTACGTGAAGGTCAAACCGATAGGGTGTATTGCTACCAATGGGGCTATTAGATCACTATTATTAACAATTCCTTTCCCACTTCGCACACAGGTTTACCATTTAATTTTCATATTTAAAATAAATATGTAAGGTCGAAGTATATTTTTATTTATCATAGATACTTGTCAACCGTCGTTAGATTACTCTATTTAGTTTTATTACGCTCTAGACAGCGAAATTAAAGAAATTAATTTTAATCAAATAACAAATTTTTATATTACTTAGCCTATATCTTTTAATACTTTAATTTTAATCGAATTTGAATCAATATTTGTAGTTTTCAGCTCGACGACTAAAGGGAAATATTTTACGGGCATATATATTGTACCTATTCTTATGTATGTTTGTAACTTTGCGCAAAAGTGTCGAAAACTCTTGATTAATTTGTTATAAACGGTGTCATTTGATTTGTTGTCATTGTAGTTCTCTAGACTACAACAATAGTTTATCAAAAACTTAAAAAAAAATGAATTTGGTTACATTTCCAAATTATATTCAAGATTTTTTACGATATTCTTATACCCACTTCTACATCTACTGTAATTGGCTTGATACGTAATTAGTTATTATTTGACATCAGCGAATATAAAGTCAAAAGACCTATAATGTTTTAATTATTATACTCATTCTTATATAACCATATAAAATGCCATTGTCATCCATAACAGAACATTTTCCATCCATTCGAGGTCAATGGTGAGAGGAATTGATGACGGTTCGCAGAATCAATGACGGATTAATAGCTAGTCCTGACATTCCAAACAACAAATACTTTTGAAACACACCACTATTTTTATGCCCTTAAAGTCTTTATTCTTTCGGAGAAATTCCGTGACATCACCCACGCGGAACACTGTATCTCTCGATCCAATAGGTGTTTTCAACAAACCCTTTTTAGTGGATATATTAGTCACATTATATATAAATATATTACAAGGTCTTACTCTAAAAATAATGCAATAAAAGCCCAGGTGGGGTTTCAAAAAACTCTGTGATATTGTTTGTTTAGTCAGTGATTTTTATTTGTAATTTTATGTGCCCATTATTTTTTTCTTATTTTTTTTTTGTTTTGATCTGTATATATTAAAATTTAAAAATATTTATTAATAAAATTTAAATTTATTAATAATAAAATTTAAAATAATGTATAGATAACTTTAAATACCTTTTTTTAATAACATATACTTATTTTGTTTAGACTTGAACAGATATTAGTCACATTTTTGTAAGATGTCTAAACATATATTGATCACCTGTCGATCACGAATCTCACTTTTTTGTGGTAAAACTGATAAATGTCATATTTCAGCATCCAATAACTCTTGTTGTCTTTATCAGATCTATTAGAACAATAGTCTTAGAGATTAAATGGTCATTAAATATAATGAAACGCATTAGAGATAGTAATATCAGCATGAAGACAAGATGCAAAGAGTCAACGATAAGCCGTGATTGCAGCGATATAACCAATAGTCACGATAGGTTGTTAACCTAATAAGATAAGTTATCGACGCCAACGCTCGCGGCCTACATACTTCCGCGCTGTTGTTGTATATTGAAAGTATATTTACTTCTATTTGTAGGTTAATAAGTCATAACAAGATTTCATACTTCATATTACTAGGATTTTATATAGCTGTATGATCCCCGCATATATTCAAAGATCATCAGGTCTTTTCCCGTAGGTGTCGTAAGAGGCGACTAAGGGAGCAATAGTTGAGGAATAGGCAGCAGCGTCTCTCTTAAAACATTATCAAAATCTGACTGCGATTGCCAACCCGACTACCAAGTGTGGCAACTACTGGGAAATCCCCCTTTCTTTATAGGGACAGATGGGGCAAATAAGCTGACGGCACATCTTATGTTCAAGTGGTAACCGTCGCCTATAATGGACAGATAACTGTTTCGCTGATATTATGATATATTATTCCTTATATTTCATATATTTCACACAACAGCCATGCAAACTAAACGACGATATAAGGATATAAAAGGGCAATTAAATAAAAAATTCTATATTTCATAATTTTACTAAACGACGATCTAAATAAGGGCAATTAAATAAAAAACAAACACAATTTTACCAGAAGAAGAGTTTGTACAAAAGTAGTTTGCTTGGGTACCTTTGTCCCATTCGTATTATTGCTTTGAAGTAGTTGTGTTTACGTAGCTGTGTTTCAGTTTAAAGGATGAAATATGGCAATTAAATTACAGGGGACAAAGGCATATTAACATCATAATCTTCATTTATGTCAATACATAAAGGATATCATATGCGACAAAATATACTCTGTTATATCCATGTCTATAGGCGACAGTTACCACTTTCTGTCAGGTGGGCCATTAGCTTGTTTGCAATTCTAAGTTGCATAAACATTACCTGTTCAAACAAAATCAAAATAGTACATCAAAATACGAACTGAATGTTCTAAATCGATTTTGATAAATTCATTTAATTTAAAATTTATTTTGGGAACATATAATCACAATCGAACATATTAAATTAACCTCAATTACTATGTTAATTAATCTAAAGATATATTGATGGACATGTGACGCAGAATTTATTAATACTATATTTAGAATTAGATATTGGTTGATTGAAAGATTTTTTATTCTTTGTTTTTCGGTTATAACCAATCTTATATATAAAATTCTCGTGTCGCGGTGTTTGTTACCAAACTCTTCCGAAACAGCTTTATCGATTTTTATGAAATTTTGTGTGCATATTGGGTAGGTCTGAGGATGAACCAACATCTATTTTTCATACCCCTCAATGATAAGCGTGACCCTGCTCAAAAAAATTTTTTTTAATTTTTTTAACAAAATTTTCCATTTTTATTTTATTATGATTTAGCATTGAAAAATACACACAACTTAAAATTTTCATCGTTTTACGATCAATCCCTGTATTTTAATCGCGACTTTTATATTTCGCAATAAGTGGTAAAACAACGTTTACGGGGTCAGCTAGTTTTTTTATAATTATTACATTAAAAGAGAAATACATTATGTATGTAAGTACAGTATATATGTATGGTACTAATGTCAACACAGTCATAATTAACAGTTGAATATTTTTGATAAAAACACACGTATATCAATATATTTATAGTTAAAATAATCATAACTAATACATATAATTTTGTACTTTGTAAAAAATATTATTTTAGATTTATTGTATTATTATATTACATTCAACTGCAACTAATATTTTTTTTATTATTAAAAGTTTCGTTAGTTACCTACATACAATATTTTATTATAATAACTACCAATTTAAGAATACGATCGAGAAAGTTCGACTAGTTTTGAGACCAATTCGGGACCCTTACTCGTATTAAATTGTCTACGCCTTCCTCTATTAATTTGTAGT